AAAACATGGGATTTAGAGGGGGGGGGTCAAATTGCCCCCCCCCCCAGCATATCCTGGTTTTCAAGTACCCCAGCAGAGATAGGGTTAAATATGATTTTACATTTACAGTGGTCCCCAAAACACAAATTTTAAGCCAAATTAAAAACTTTAAGCGAATAATTTCTTGTTGGATATATATATTTTATATATCTTAACCCTTTTGAGTTTTCTTCATGGGTTAAAATCTCCTTGAACTATAGTGCGTAATTCATATCTCAAGGTTTGGTACTCCAGGACGATCACGGTGTTGCAAAACAAATAAAAAATTGCGAATAGTTTTTTTTATGCTACATATATAATAATTAGATACATATTTAAAAGCCCTCGAGAAAATAAATATAATAATCATGTCTTGCATGTACACTTTTGGTAACAATTTAATTACTAGATTATTTGACAAACTTTCTGAACTTTATATAAATTCTCTTCAGCAATTAAATTTTTCAAGTTGGTGGTCAAAAATCTACAAAAATAATAAGGCCTTAACATTCATCACACTTCTTATCACAACTGTGAGGCCAAAATCATAAATATCATTGTTGATTTTAAAATCTGAGTTGCGATCAATAAACCATTTTAATTAATAACCTAACCATCCTTAATCAATTTAGATACAAAAAGAACCAAAAAACTGCGCAGGATTAAATGTCGTCTTTTTATTCCTTTTTGTTAAGAAATGTCGCTAAGGATTTAGCTATCTGATATTGCATTGTTTGAAATTGTCCTGTGCAATTTTTAAGAAATACGTCTGTTGCGAATTGCAAAATCCAGAGCTCGGGACATTTTCAGATTTAAGAACAAAAAAGACGACGAGAATATCACTGTTTTTTGGCACTCACTGTATATAAATTCTAGAATTCTGATGATCCTGTCTCGCATATAATATCAGATTATCATTTTAATTCACAAATCAAACCAGAGGCAGATATCAGACCTCAGGCAATCAATCATTTTATTTGATTTCGTCGAATATCCGTGGATTTTTACTTGGCCTTTCTCTAGAAATAGCTTTAGCTAACTATCGCAGTTTTCCATTCCACTATTTCGCACATATTTCGCAGATTTCCAAATTCCCAACATCTTTTTCTACTTTAGATGTTTTTAATTAATGATCTGATTTGTATTTTATTATTGATTTATTGACTCTCAACTAACTTTCTTTTATTATACGAATTGATTTATTGATTGATTGAATCAGAGAGATCAAATTCTGGGAGCTGTTCTTCTCTCCCAGCTGGAAGGGGAAGGATCAGATAAGGTAAACAATCCACTCTGAACTAAACACTAAACAGTCACGTCAAAATAAAGTAAATTGAAGAACTATTGTAAAGAATATAAATGTTTTGAATTTCCTTTAAGTAACTGAATAAATTTACTTCTCACATACTTGTCAATAAAAACTAGGGGAGCACCTTTTTAAAAAAATCGTGTGAGAAATATAGCTTAAAGGAATTAAGTCTTTGTCACAAATTCTGATTTTCTAATCGCTATATCTTAACAACTCAATGTCGTAGACCTTAGATATTCATTTGGTTAAATCAATTGATCTAAGTTTTAAATATTAAAGGTTTACCTCTTCAGGTTGCAAAGATAATTGCATTAGAAAATTTGATTTTGTGGCAAAGACTAATTCCTTTATCTTCTTCTTCTATCTTGTTTGCAGTTCATTAACCAGGACTATACAGGAGTGTTCAGTTTCTTCAAGTTGAATTCAATTGTGTTGTGGTTAGGTTTGTTAATCGTTTTTGTAAACGATCGGTAAACGATCGTTTTTTTGTTTCGTTTTCGGAAAAAACGATCGTTTTTAAAAACGACCCACTCGTTTTGAACTTTTAGAAAACGAATAGCGATCGTTTTTAAAACGACCATTTTTTAAAAAACAAACTTTTTTTAAAAAGCGATCGTTTTTAAAAACGATCGTTTTTAAAAACGATCGTTTCGTTTTCGATTTTTCGTCGTCGTTTTCATAACGAAACGATCGTTTTTCTGAAAAATGAAAACGTTAACATCCCTAGTTGTGGTCTATAGTTTAACCATTTATTAACTTACTAAGCTGTCTTTTCTACTTTTTTCTTTAAAATCTATCTGCCTTCAAAAAAGCGTAAAAGAGTAAAAAGAAAAAAGATGATGTATATATGCTTTATTTGTAAACAAAAGGGACATCTTGCTGGAACTGTTAGATCAGTTTTGATTATTCACATAAAAATAAAAATGTCCGCGCGGTTGAAATACTTTTATACAAAAAAGCATAAATTAACAGATTAACATTGAAATCGTTATTTTAACTACACAAATGATTGCTTAAATGTCGTCTTCAAATTTCACAGTTCTAGGGGTCTCAATGAAAAAAAATTACTAACATTTAAAAAACTGAATGCAGGTTATTCAAGCACTTCACAAATATCCTAATATGATGGCTGCTCTGATGGCAGACAAACAGCATCAGCGACAGAAGATCAAATATCCAGGTAGATACTAAAACAGAGCTTTCACTTTTCAGTAAAACATATATAAGGGGTAACAATAAACAAAATAAATCAAAATATCTACCTTAAAACTAGTTTTAAGGATCATAAACGTTGTTTTTTCCCTGTAAAGATAAACTTTTGCTGTAAATAGATGAACATTTAAGGAAAGCTTAATATCATCAACAAATCTGATTTCTTTTTGCGTTATTTAGATTTATATATTTGTTGTTGTGTTTAGGTGCTCCTCTTCAATCAACATTTTTATCCCCTTCACCAGCCTCAAACTCTCAACCTTCAGCCTCGAACCTTCAACCTTCAGCCTCGGATCAGAAACCTAAGCCTACCTTAACCCCGGCTTTAGGCAAGTATTGATTACTTTGTATATTTCTATATTTATTTTTTAGAATAATGTTAAAAAATACAAAGTGTGTATAGAACTAAGGTTTGTAAATAGTCAACTACTCAGTAAATATCTAGTTTATTTAAAAAATCTACTGATTTCATAAGCTCTACCGTTATACCCTGCAAGAAAAATTTCAACTTTGGTTTAAATCTTTGCAATACATTTTAAGAAGAAGTAGATTTTTAACCAAGGTTGTAAAATAAGGTTGCTTACTCTCGATGCGCTCCAATGCACGGGAAATGTCTTCTCCTTGGCATAGATAGATGAAATCTGCATATGACGTCACTGATTACAGAGGCTAGAGAGATGTTATATGCGGATTCTATCAATCTATGGTATGGATACACCTAAATCCATACTTTGGAGCGCTTAGAGAGTAAGCAACCCTATTTTACTGTTTCTAACAGTCCTCCTAATACGTCACACTAAAATGTGTTCACAATCTCAATTCACTCAACCTTTTGACATCTATACACGCAATGGTACAAAATTATACATCGTAAAATAAAAAATAAGGATTGAAGTCTGAAATAAATCAAGAACCATATTTGTCTTTCCCACTGTTTACTGTGGATATTTGAAGCTCACATAGATTTAGAGATCATCTTTCTTCTAGACAGGTTCGTCTTAGAAAACGACTTGGTCAATGGTTTTAACTTGATAACTCACTTATACTTTTTTAGCCCTGTACAGTGTACATAATCATATACATTAAAAAAAATAGTTTCTAGCTTTGATTTAAAATGGTTAATTGACAAAATGTTGGAAAATGTTTGATTTAGAGTGTGCACAATTTTGATCAATGTGTGTGTGCACTGTGCAGTGTGCGTTGCATTAGTTAATTTTTTTGTTACTCCTGACAACAAGATTTTAGTTATACCTGAAACTTTGAAATTTTTACTGTTTTTTTTTCATTAAACTTAACTTTGTTTTCAAATTTTAGATAACTTTTTTTTAACTTGATCAGTGGGCTGTTGACTTAGAAAATTCACTTTTTTTTTATGATAACTCTTGCTTGTTTTAATGGCTCTTTTTCTCATCCCATTCAGTATTACTTACTCTGAGGTCAGAAATAATGAGTTAAATTATCAGAAATAAGTTAATAATTTCCGACATTTTGACATGAATATTACTTAATTAATTAAAATTTCCGACATTTTGACATTAATATTACTTAATTAATTAAAATTTCCGACATTTTGACATCAATATTACTTAATTAATTAAAAGATTCCAATTATTTAGAAAAGCTTGTTGATGCACTGGAGATCGATATAAATACTGTTGAAGGAGTTGAAGAACTGAAAGTATATCTGACCCTTCTCGAGGAAAATCCTCAATATGCAGCTGCAATAATAGAAGCTAATGACGACAAATCAACCAATTTAAAAAGCTCTATTGGCCCTCTTGGTTATGCATATAGAAGTGAGGATTCAACTTCCTTGGAATCTCCGAGCTTAAAGGTTTGAAAAATAAAACATGTTGATAACAAAATATAACCATAGATAACAAAATGATAACAAAATGAAGCAAATAAGTCTTAGAAATTAATGAAAATAACAGCGCCAAAGGAAAAAGTAAACAAATTTTAAAAAGTTTTAAATGAATGCAAAATTACATCAATGTCCAAGGACAAAATAAATCAAAATCTTAAAAAGTATTGAAAAATAAAAACTGAATTTACAACAATTTCAAACATTAAAGAAAAATAGCAAAGCAAAAAAAATTTGAAAGATTTAAAAAGATTAAAAATATCACTTTAGCAAATGTCAAAAATCTTAAAAATTAATTATTTAATATATTTTTAAAAGAATTCAAGACAGAAAATGTTGTTCTTTATTTCATTCAATATTTATATCTATATAAATATAATATGAAAACATTAGGAAGCTCCGAACCCTGGTAAGGAGCTGCTTGCAACCCTATCTGGGAGCGCTGGAGCAGCACTCATGGCTGGAGCTGTCGCTTCATATCCATACTGGCTTCCTCTTCTAGGAGGTAAAAAATTTTTTTTAAAATCTGTATCTTGATCAAATCAGTTTATTATTTTTTCATTTATTGTATTTTTGGGGTATGTCAAAACAAAATAAATTGCATGTACGATCGAAATCTGGCATACCTTAACCACAGACTACACAGACTGCTTATCTCCTTTCACAGGGTGGGCTACGTAGGCCTAATTTGACCCGGCACGACATGCTACATTTTTACGATATGTTTTTAGAGTGCCATCTCACGGCCATTTGTTGAACATAATACCCTATTCAAGGGTTAAGTTTTACAACTTTAAAAGAAATATTCCAATTTTAAACATGAAACATGACATAATTATGAATTCAGTCTTTTTTTGAAGATTTTGTGTTTCGTATCCAAAGGATCCTGAAATATCCCTGAATACAGATGTTTGCTGATTGGTCGTGTACAGTACTTGTACACAATAGAATATGCTTTGGAAAATATCGCATATTTTAGCTGATAATCGATCTCTGTAACTCTCTTATCTCTGCTTTTGACCATAACTACTCTTTTTATAGAACTATTATATTGAGATGAACAAAAATTCGTACAAGTAATTTCGCATAAATTTGACTTTTTCTTTACATACATCGAGAAATGTGCTGCTTTTTAGATAATATAATTTTTCTTATATTGATTTGTTCTAGGGAAGCGAAAAAAGCGTTTTGCATACAGGTAAAACAACTTCTTTTTAAAACAATTCATTACACTACAATTATAGTAATAAGAAAAAGTACAATCTCAGATTATAGATAGTACAATCCTAAAAAAAATTATGAAGCTAATACAACTGTTTTTTTGTAAAAATTTAATTTAGCTAAAAAAAATTAATTTAGGAAAATTGTTAGATAACTTTTGGTTTACATTTTAGTTACAACGGGATAGGTAGTCCAGATATACCTAGAGACTGGTTGGCAATACTAACAGGAAAAAATAATCATCTGTTTATAATTTACTTTTTGTATATAGTTTGTGGTAACCCAGAGGAAGGTTTATAGCCAGTCAAGAATTAAATGAATGTCAGTGAGAAATTACAATTTCAAATTTTCAAAAATCTTACAATGCAAATAAAGAAATACCCCAACCGTTAAACTTTTTTTCTATGTCTTTGCAATTTGATATTCAAATATTTTAAATTATGAATGTTAGTAGATATAACTGTTATAAAGTTTGACATGTTAAAGGTTTACAACATCAGGTTGCAAAGATATAGGGATTAACAAATAAAAGTGAAGTGTTCAGATTATTTCCGATTGAAAAAAAAGTTCCAACACTTTTTCTAATAAATCGCTAATATCACGAAAAGTACGTAAAAGTAAAAGTTAATTGAAAAGTTAATTGCCCCAAACTCTGATTTTTTAAACCCTATTTATTTGCAACCCGAAGTTGTAGACCTGTGATTTTTCTAGCCATGAAATAGGTTAAGTTTGAAATATTAAAGGTTTACGTCATTGGGTTGCAAAGATATAGGTATTCAAAATTAAAATTGTTGGAAAGAACTTTATCAAAACTAAGTTCCTGGGCATACATAAAAATCTGAGACAATACTTTTTTGAGCTTTTTTGCTAAATAGAATTATTTTGTAATATCTAGGCAGCAAATACAAAACTTCAGAGGCGAGCAAAACCAAGGTTTACAGTTTTCAGAATGATGTAAGAAATAATCTAAAGCCTTTAAACATAGTTTAGCAATTCATGAACAGACCTTTTAGAGAAATAATAGTTGTTTTCCTACTTGTTTTCTGTCAACCTTTCAGTATAAAACAAACAGGGTGAATCGAAAAAAAGTGTGATTAACGGCGTCTGGTGCAAAACTTTATTTGTGCAATTCTCCTACATGGTATTTTAAAAATATTTAAAAACTTTTTGTAGAACTTTTGTAGCGCTAAAACATCGGCGAAACTTTTTTTCTCTCTCTAAAAAAAGTTCGGAAATGCAAACATGTATGTAAATACTGTTTCTTTAAGATATGTGAAAAAAAATACGCAAAACATAGGTCGATTATGAAATTATAAAATAAATACACTCACCCTGTATAACCATGCCTTTTAAAAATACATGGTACAGTTATTACTTTTCATAAATTTAATGTAAAAATGTAAAAAAAAGTTAACCACAGTTTGTGTAAACTTGTTGATTATAACCATAGATTAATCAATAATACAGATAGAACACTAGATGTCGTCTTTTCAAGATTTGAGAGTTTTTAGGTCACAGTAACCCTGAGGCAGAAGCCCAAAGAATTTCCGCGCAGGAAGCGTTGAATTACAAGAAAGAGAGAGAGAATGCACGTAACTTCTATGGGCCTCTGCTTCAGGGTTATTCTGAATGAAAAATCCCATAATCTTGAAAAGACGACATCTACTGTTCTATATAAATTGTTAATTAATCTATGATTAAAACAATATTCTAGAAATTGCCTGAGCTAATTCAACAAAATGTAGATACAGATGTTTTGCTGAAACCATCTCAAAGGAATATAGAACATGCGAAAATACAATAGTATAATTAATGTAGAACATTTAAGATTCACCTCTCCTTTCCGCAATTGCAAAATCAAAACAAATAAATAAATCAAACTTGGTCTTACATAGAGCTGCAAGGAATATTGGTTTAGGGTTAATTAATAAATTAATATTAGAATTAATATTAGAATTAATAAATTGCGGATTTTACAAGCACATTTTTGTTTGTTCCGAACTCAAACATAAAAACGTAAATTGCATTAAAAAACGCTTATGATTATGATTACTATGCATTTGTTTGATTGGATTGCTTCCTAACCAAATTTAATTTTAAGCAATCAAAAGTATTTTATTGCATTTTCTATTGATCAAGGATAAGGATAAAGATAGACCAAGACAAATTAAAACTGACAAACAGGAAAATATTTAAATCAATCTTCCAATAATTTGTTTACCTATTTTGATAAGTACGTGTTTCGATTTTCAACCCTAAAAAGACTGGAGGGAGGGCGTTTGGCGCCACCCCTTTTAAAGTAATTTAAACAATTTTTTTTTCAATAATCATTTTTGAAAAGTCTATGAAATTCACATTTTTTTGGTGATTATTTTCAAAAAAAATGTTATTTTATTTAAATAATTTTCCGACGTACATTTTGCAACTTTTTTAACATTGATTGTTTGATTACAATTCACTATTTTTATTGATTTGAATTGATAAAGTTGGCAAAATGGAGGTGTTACGGAAGAAAAAGGTAAACTATGATTAAAAAAAGTATTTTGATAATTTTCAGAGAAATATCACAGGAGTCTTTCAAAACATTTTTGTAAATATTTTTTAAAATGTAAATTTTTTGGAAGTATGGTTTTTTTGCTTTCTTTCTAAAAAGTAGATACTATATTGCATCTTATTATCTGTTTTTAGAGTAAAAATTTTTTAACTGAAAAAATACTTTTTTAGATTCTGAAAATTCTACAAAGCAATTTCAACAAGAGACAAAGTCAACGACAAGTCAACAAATAAAAACATCAACATCTACAACTGCAGAAGTGTCAACCGCAGAAACAACCACTGAACCAACAACTACATCTTCAACCTCAGAATCAACTACTGAAACGAAAACAACTACAATCGCACCAAATCAAACAAGCCAACCACTATCAATAAAAGTATCATCTTTTAACAATATTTTCAAAAAATATTTGGACCAGAAAGCAGCCCTGCACAAAGATAACTCATTTTACTCCAAACATTTCTTAAATCTTCTCCAAAATAGCAAATCTAACCCTAAAAAGGAAACTTTTCTTTCATCTAAAAAACAAACTCAGACACCAACACTGACAACCACAACGACAACAGCAAAAACTACATCGACAACCACTGAAGCAGCAATGAAAGCAGCAGAAGCTACAACAGCTAAGATGACAACAACAGCTGGGACAATAATAGCAGCAAGAACAACAACCGCAGCGGAAACGACAACATTAGAAACTACAATCACAACCACGGAAGCTAAAACGACTACAACAACAGCAACACCGACAATAACAGAAGCTACATCTACAACGCCTGTATCTATATTGACCAAGCCAACAGCAAAAGCCAAAGCAACCAAGACACCCTTAAACCGTAAACAACCAGTGTCCGGATTTATGTGGTTTACGACACCATCCGGAGAATCGAAATTTTCGTATTCTTCTAATGTTCCCCTCAGCGTTCCTAGTTCAACAATTGAACCATCTAAAATGATTCTTGATTCTAGTTTGATATCTACAGACAATGATTTTAGCACAGACATAGATTCTTCAACAATGAAAAGTTCCATATCAAATGTTCTCCGAGAACAGATTTTTGAGAATTTTTATCCTGAAGTGAACTCTATGTCCTCCACAATAAACAGGCCAACCAGGTATTATTTCTAGCTTGAAACATCTTTTATTTACTAATTGTACATATCTTTGAACGTTTTGCAAGTATCTTAAACCGACTGTATGCCTGATTTTGTATGTACACAAAAATTGTTTGATAGCTTACCAATTTGGCACAAGTTTTGAACGTTTATTTCTCAACCCGATTTTTTAAAACCTGTTCTAATTTACGCACAAATAATTTCAACATAATTGACAATAATCTAACTTATTAATTTTGTTCAATGGTTAAAATTTGGGAAACATTCTTTAAAAACGAGTGATTTGAAAAAAAAACGCTTTAATTTGTTGTCTTGGTAATTCTTTTTTGTTTAATAGGTAAATGTATTTTTTTCATAATATACACTTGAGAAATAGTTATTTGTAAAAAGCTACATGTGTGGTTTATTTTGTTGTATAAACAATTTTAAAAACCTAATTGGAAACATAGATTAGTAAAATATGTATGGGATAAATCAAATATCAAATATTTTTGAGATGTATGGAAAAAAGATTTTTGTTAAAAACTCACTTTTTTGAAATTCCATTTGGGAATTGGGAATTGGGAATTGGGATATAATGTTCTGAGAAATAAACTTTGAAACAAAACTTAATGGGGTATCGAAATTAAAAAATTAGATATTTGAGAAATGCACATTAAGAAAATAGTTATTTGGAAAATAGACATTTGCTATTGGGGTAGTCATTTTGAAATTAACCATTTTGAAAATTTCATTTTGGAAGGTTACATTTGGGAAATAATATCCTTGATCAAAATGTTGTTCTTTGTTCGATAGAATAATTTTGTTTAGTCCTGCTAACGAGAATATATTCAAATGGCAAGAAGAAATCACTGCAAACATAGGCATCAATAAAATATTTTTTGTTTTCATTGCGCTGCAAACTTAATTTTAAATAAAATAATAAAGTTGTTATTTCATTAAAGTGTTTGTTGACTGAAGTGGTATTTACTAGTTATCTTTAGTGCAAATATATATTTTTTATCTAAATTGAAAGTTGACTTATTGATAAACGTTAGAAGATTTAGAATCTGAATTTTTGATGCACAGCCCTCAGTATCAAAGCAACAGTTATTATACCAAGGTAATTTTTTAAAACGTTTTTTTTCTTCTTGCTAAATAGTCTCTTTCGTTTGCACGTTAGAGACGTAGTTTAACGAGCTACGCATGTTTAATTTAACATATTTTTGAAGTATATATATTCGGCGACAAATTAAAAAATTATTGTTTTTAATTATCATTAAATACTTGCAATCGACATCCGTCACTGTGAACTAGGTAGAAGGATAAGGTCAAATCTTTTCGACATTACTGATATGACTTTAAGACATCGTAGCTGCTCTAGTTTTCATATTACGCACAAATATTAAAAAAAGTAATGTTATCCACTAAGAGGAGTTACTTAAGATTTCAATCTTGAGTTATAAAAATCTAAGTTTTTTGTCTTATTTTAAACTTTCATTAGAAAATATGTGTACAATCCCTTTAAGCTCTGTTTGTTGACGTTTGTTTATTCATTATTTATTTACTGGAAAACAGTTCCCAATTATTGGACGAAGTCTAATATAAATTATCAATATTGTATTGGATAAAACTTGGCCTAAAAATAAAAGAACCGCAATCAGAACTTTGTTCATGGAAAGCATTAATCCCTGTATGGTCCAAAAGATTAAGTTAATTCCTTCCTTCTGGATTCTGCGAATGAAAATTGGCATTTTTTTTTCACGAATTTAGCATTTTCCGACTTTATGCCGCTTTTTTTATTTCCGGAGATTTGCTACTCATCTTGTTCAATTTAAATTTAGAAATGCGTTTTTGTGCGCTTATTTATTTGCTACAACTACCTCACTCTTTTAAATGTGAAAAAGTAAATCATAGCAATGAGTGTTTTTCGGTATCATCTGGTTCTTGTTCTTATCTATTTCTTTTTCAACAAAAGATCGAAATTGACTCTTTGTGGAGAGAAAATACGTATCTTTTAAAGTTAAGATTAATCTTTTATTCTTCTAAAACGGTATTTTTCAATAACAGCATTTTTAATATTTGAGACTAGCTGAAAAAGAATTCGGAATTTAAAAAAATGTCGAAATTTGTTTAACCTATGTTTTTCCCCGGTCACCCATGGGTTCCCTCAACAAAGGAATTGAGTCTTTGCCACAAATTCAGTTTTTGTAAAACCAATATCTTTGCAGCCTTATGATGTAAACTTACATTATTTGATCTAATATCATTCATAGTTTGAAATATTAAAGGTCTACGACACCGGGCTGCAACGATATTGAAATTAGAAAATCAGAGTTTGTTGCAAAAACTCAATTCCTTTGNAAGTTTTATTAAAAGTAAAAATATAACTTACTTGTCGTAATATGTGTGTTAATATTTCCAGGACGAGTCTGGACTACTACCGAGCTGGTCTTATTCTGAGGACATCAAGCTAAATGTTGACAAACTTATGGAGGATTTAATTCAACCGGACAACAGGGAAACTGGACAAGGAAGAAAAAAAGAGGATCAAATGAAAAATCAGAATAAAGATTCAAATTCGAACTTGTTTAATCCTGACACATTTGCGGGATTTTTAGCAGCAGTTCAGCAAAATACTACAGGAGAGCAAAATTTTGAATATTCTTCATCTGTTGGAGAATATGATAGGAAAGGTACAAATCATTCGGAAGTGAATACTGAATATTATGAGACAACTATAGTTTATTCTGTGCCGAACGAAAACTTTCAATTGAAAAGACCAGACCAAGAAAAGGTAATATAAAAAGTTTTTTAAAGGAACTGTCGTTGCAACTTAAGATAAATTCCTCCATTATCTGTAAAGCAAAACTGTACAAGTCACTTAAAACAGAAACTTAGATAAAAAGTGAAATATTTTCCTAAAGAAAATTATATATAAGTCGGATGTTGATTAATCGAAAGAATCTCACTAAATCGTCCACAGAACCAAAATGAAACCGAAAACAAACACAACTTTATTTTAGAAAACGGTGAAACAAGAAGACAACATAAATGCAAATGAAATTAAGGTTGAAAATAGAAACGAAATAAGCTTTTATGTTGAAAATGAACCTGAATCTGTACCATACAACAAGGAACAAAACATAAATAAAAATTTAAAAAATTTCTATTTTATTTTTTTTAAAACTTAATTTTTCATATTTTATATTTCATTTGATTTTGATGTTTTGTTTTAAAGAACCCAGAAATATTGTTGATGAAGAAAAATGTCACCTCTTCTAGAGACATTCTGAATTACCTCAGGTTAAATATAAAGTAGTTCATATTTTAGTACATCAATGTATATCGTATAATAATGATGTTTGAAACTTATCAAATGGAATTTCTTAAAAGGAATATCCCAAAGGGAATATCCCAAGGGAATATCCCAAAGGAATATCCCAAAGGAAATGTCTCAAAAGGAATATCCTTAAGGAAATATTTCAAAGGGAAAAACAAAAGGGAATATCCCAAAGGGAATATCCCAAACGAAATTTCTCAAAGAAATATCCTAAAGGAAACATCTCAAAGGAAATATCTCAAAGGGAATATCCCAAAGGGAATATCTCAAAGGAAATATCTAAAAGGGAATATCCCAATAAGAATATCCCAAAGGAAATATCTAAAAGGGAATATTCCAAAGGGATTATCCCAAAGAAAATATCTAAAAGGGAATATCCCAAAGAAAATATTCCAAAGGGAATATCCTGAAATAATATCCCAAATATAAAATCCCAAATTTGCGTAAAAAGAAATATTCCAAGGGAGTATCCTAAGGTGATTATCCCAAAGGCAATATCTCAAAGGAATGTCCTAAGGTAATATCCCAAGGAAATATCCCAAGGAAATATCCCAAGGGAATATCCCAAGGGAATATCCCAAGGGAATATCCCAAAGGAATATACTAAGGGAATACCTAGGGAATAACCGAGGGGAATATCCAAAGGAAATATTCTAAGGGAATATCCTAAGGGAATAACCAGAGGAAATATCCGAAGGGAATATAATATCCCAAAGAAATATCCCAAGGGAATATCCCAAGGGAATATTCAAGGAAATATCCCAAGGGAATATCCCATGCAAATATCCCAAGGAAAATCCAAAGGAAATATCCCAAGGGAATATCCCAAAGAAATATCCCAATGGAATATCCCAAGGTAATATCCTAAGGAAATATCCCAAGGGAATATCCCCAGGGAATATCCCCAGGGAATATCCCACGGGAATATCTCAAGGAAATATCCCAAGGGAGGGAATAGCCCTAGGGAATATCTCAAGGGAATATCCCAAGGGAATATCCCAGGGGAATATCCCAAGGGAATATCCCAAGGGAATATCCTAAGGGAATATCCCAAGGGAATATCCCAAGGGAATATCCCAAGGGATTATCTAGAGGGAATATCCCAAGGGAATATCCCAAGGGAATATCCCATGGGAATATCCCAAGGGAATATCCCAAGGGAATATCCCAAGGGAATATCCCAAGGAAATAACCCGAGGGAATATCCCATGGGAGTATTCCAAGGGAATATTCCAAGGAAATGTCCCAAAGGAATTTCCCAAAGGAATATCCTATGGGAATATCCCTAGGGAATATCCCAAGGGAATATCCCATGGGAATATCCCTAGAGAATATCCCAAGGGAATATCCCAAGGGAATATTCCAATTACTTCTATTACGCTGAAAGTATGTTAGTAGTGTGAAAGCGAAGGCCAAGGGATTGTGATTATTAAAAGTCGACCCGGTCCGGAAAATTGATGCAACATTTCAGAGCTGTCTGCATATCTGTATTTAACTAAAATCCTTTAAATATATTTCAGTTTAAATCTTTTAATTTAAAATCATTTCAATTGTTTTCAGTTCTCTGATGAAATCAACGAACTCTTTGAAGCATAAATATCCAGGAGGTAATCAATCTAATTTAATTCACCCCAGTGTAATTCAGTTCAATTGGGCATTCTGTCCGTTTGAATAAAACAAATGTAAAATTAACTGACCAAATTTTATTTTTAATCAAATAAAAGCTTCTAAATCTTTATCTTTACTCTGGTCAATTGGTCTCCCAGCCAAAACTACACAAGTTTAACCGTTTACTCTGGTCAATTGGTCTCCCAGCCAAAACTACACAAGTTTAACCCTTTACTCTGGTCAATTGGTCTCCCAGCCAAAACTACACAAGTTTAACCCTTTTGGTGAAATTTAAAAGGACTGAAAACGAGTTGCATACTAAATACACATTATATACAGACAACCTTTTTTGGTAATCGAAGACTGAAAAATCCGAATTTTTCTAGCTGAAAATGCTTCTATAATCGAATTCATGTGATGCCACTTGTAACGACGGTGCAGTGTATGGTCACTGTATATTGTATATTTAAGTTTCCATGCACTTAATTTACTTAAATAACTGTGGAATATAAAGACAACATTAAGCAATATGTGTGTTTGATGTTGTTAGAGTAAATAGTTTAACTGTATAGCTTGAATTGGGTCTGTGCACATTGCACAGTTGTTGTGTTTATTGTTTATTTGACAATTTAAAATCCTAACAGAGTTTTAATAGTCGTGAAACTTGTACATATTCCACAGTTTTTTTGATACATGCATAATGTACGTATAAAACTTCTTATAAATAATTACAATTATTTATTACAGATTATAGTGTCCACAGACCAGCAAGAGAAACCACAATAAGAACAGTATCCAACCTAGACCTACTTCCGCTTTCAAGTCCCAAGGGAGACCTACTTCCGGTCTCAGGCTCCAGGGGAGAAACATTTCTGGACTCTGGTTCTATTCCCAAGTTGAAGATAAAAACTTCTGGAAATCTAAATTCAGATTTGCAAAAGATTTTGCTCCAAATTAAGGTATTAAAAATTCCTTCATTCATATTTCCGGTAAAAAATTCATAGATTTTTATGATTATAATTCTGATTCAAAACTTCAAAGTTTTATTACCCCTAAAAAACTATTCAGAGAAGAATGAACAAAGTGTGAATTCTATTTATTTTTATGTTTTTAAAGGCGTGGTTGTTTTATCTGAGAAGAAAGAAAGAGCAAAAAACTGAAAGAAATGTATCATAATGACAAGTATTTCGCTTTGTTTGATTTCATTTTACACTTTTTTATATTTGTGTTGAGTACAAAATTTTAACTCATTCGTATAGAGCCTTGAAAGTGTACCATTGTGAATAGAACACGCAACGTTTTAAAGAAGTTGTCACGTCAAAGTTCAGTTATCCACCGTTATTTCTCTATTTTACATGTAATTACTAAAACTAAATCAGAAAAATTTAGTTTCCTAAATTTAAACATACTCATACTCATACTGTATGATGACTGCACGGTAAAAGTTATTGTGAAAATGGAGTTAAAAGTTGAAATAAAATGATATTACTAAATTGCAGGGTGGAGAGGAATGGAAGATAAATAATGAAAATGATTATGATCATGTTTGGATAAATGGAGGAAATAATCAGGAAATATTACAGGTGAAAGTTAACATAAATCCATTATACTGCTTTGAAAAGTTTCATAAATTTTCAGCAATGAGTCAACTTAAAAGTGTCCCAAATCCATTTCCATTATTGTATCAATTACACTTTTGTGTAGCCATAGACATGAACATTTTAATTTTATATTTCAGAAGTTTGCAGCTATAGTTTTTCAGAAGTTATTGGCAAAGTTTTCTTAGATTTTCTTTGGATTACTGTGGTCACTGCCATTGTTTACTTTTTTCATATGTTGATTAAACTAAGGCATTTACAAATTGTTTTTATTTGAGAACTTAGCGTTATGGATATTTCGCAAATGCTTAGCTCAAAAGAAAAGAAAAATTGTTTAAACAGTTATTTAGTTATTTCGATTTTTTTTAGAAAATGCTGTATACATTAATCATTAATCTTTGTCACAAACTCTGATTTTCTAATCACTATATCTTTGGAACCAAATGTTGCAGGCCTTAGATATTTCAAACTATGAATTCTGTCAAATCAAATAATCTAAGTTTGAAATATCAAAGGTTTACAATATCAGGTTCTAAAGATATCGGGGTTTTAAAATTTAACTTTGTGACAAAGACTCAATTCCTTTTCTCATATTCTTTTTTCATATGTGAGCCTTCAGTAACGAAGATAAAGTTATTAGATTAGAAAATTTTAGTTTGATTCGAATGCAAAGTTTCTTTGTAAATAAATTTTTTTTTCAAACACTTTTTTTTAAAAGAAATATATGAAATCACGTTTAATTTTAAAGCTATTTTAAAAAATTAGATTAAAGACATTTAGAACATTTAAATTAAAAAAAAATATTAAAAGATGATTATTAAGTATGAAAATTATTTCAAATGAAATAAATTTTAGGATGTGGAAGGCCCTGAGCAGAATTTGGTAAATATACCGCTAGGTATGGTATTATCATTATAATATTAAGAAAAGAAAATTTTAGTTTTCAAATATTTTTACACTCTTTTCTTCTTCTTTAGTAAAAGAATAATTATTATTCACCAGAGACAGTTTAAGAAGCGTTTGATGTTTTATACTTTGATCTTATTTGCACTTTTCTTAAAGTTCTGCCAACACTTGAGTTAGTTGGAGGAGGTTTTTTTCCCAGGAGTCTTGGAGTCTTTTAGTTTAGCGCTCGTACAGAATTAGTAATTTTGTTTCTTACTGAACCCTTAACTGCCGTTGGGTGGAAGTGTGAAGGGGGGGAGGTCCCCTTTCTGCCAGACTGATCTTACTAATGAAACTTGATACTAATGTTTCAGAAACGGATGTAATATTTAAAAAAAATCTCTATTTCCGATTTTAGAACTAAGAGGGGATGAAGACTCTATTTGGGAAGCTGGACTCAACCCTGTTTTTAACAATAAGCAGAGCTCTGTTGAAAGATACCCCCAGATATATCAATCCTTCAAACCCTTTCATCCTGTCAGGAAACTCCAAAGGATAATCTTATAAACTAAACTTTTAAAACTTTTCCTGTATAATCTGTAGATTATAGTTGTAAACTGGACATCCTTTCAGAATCAATTCACTCAATCTGGACTAACCAGTAACCAGGGCTAGATTCATTCAGAGCTGAAAACTTTAGAATTGGGTTTCCTTATAATACCGATCGCATAATCCTAATATCCACTGTGTACACTTTTGTTTCTGCTTAACCACTCTGATTGGTTGAATTTTATACACTAACGATAAATTGAGATCAAGCATTGATCATAGGTTGTAGAGCTTAACAAGACAAAGACCGAATTGTTAAATTCACCCTTAACCACGCTGTTAAAAGAAACATTTAATAATATCGAACGTTAAATAGCAATTGGAAATTACAACATTTTTTTCAAAATTAGGCTCAGCAATCAGCATATTAGGGATATCCTAATTTCAGAGAAAACATTCCGTGATATTTCTTAATTTCGAAATAGTTTTCATAACTTTATATTTTAATTAATAAATCCAGCTTCCATCAACATAATCCTGATAGGGAAAACAAAACTTCCCCGTCAAACATCACACCTTTAACTCCGCCAAACAGTTCTTCCGATCTGACCTTGATTTCTACAACTAAAGACAATAATATGATCAACGATGGTTTAGAACTAACTACAACAAGTGATGTATTCAACATGGATTCTCTAGGAGCAGAAACACATGAGGAACCGGTTTATTTTTCAGTTCCAGAGGATAACAAATTTTTTAAATCTAAGGAATGATGTTGATTTTCATTTTGTTATAAAAAAAAAAACTATAAAGCCCTTTTCAAGCCGATTAAGCGCATTTTTAGAAAAAAAGAAACAAAATTAATATTGAAATCAGGTAAAAATTTCGAATTAAAAAACATATGAAATGATGAACAAAATTTAGACAGATACAGCTTAACCCAGAACTGCTGAGACATCGGAAGAATATATAAATTTTCGTTTTACTGAAAATAGAATACGAACAAAATGTTAACCATGAAATTTCTTACAATTTATTTTTTTCTATGTCTAAATTGTTTTAATCAATATTTTGTGTTTAGTTTTAAAAAAATATTTGAAAGAAAAACAGCATCATAATCAATATAGTTTGAGCTCTTCGAGGGAGAAAACTCATCAAGAAACAGGGAGGGAGAAAAGTCATCAAGAAACAGGGTTACTTTTCTTTTATTTATAACTTTTAAACTTCTATAAAAGTAAAGTCAGCTTCTTTGAAAAGTATTGCAATTTTAAGTAATTGTGGTTTTGTTTCCAAAAAAGATTGTTTTTAGAATATTCAAAAATGGGTGACCACCAAAATGAATCAATGATGTGTAAGAAAGCATTGATAGTCTAGCTTGACAAGTTTACAATTCTTATAAATTACCATTGATTCAGATGCAAAATATGCAAGCCACTGTAGTAAAGAAACCACAATTGAATATAATCCAATTTCAAAAACAAAATCATGGATAAGCTTTTGAGGGTTTTATTTCAAGTCAGATATGCCACTTTATCAGTGAAGGGTCTATTTTACTTCTAAAAAATGTTGTGAGGCATAGAATGCTCAATCTCCAGAAAGCCTTTGCTTTCTGTCAAAGTTATGCACGTCGTTTTTTTGAAAGCATATTTTGGGGAACAATGCCTGATTTCAAAAATAATGATAATTTTATTGATTGAAAAACACGCAATTCTTGTAAATCAAAACTCATTAAAATCCAGTTTTAAAGTAATACTTACATATTTAATCAATTGGACGGTCTATTTGATTTATTTTATATACTTAGCTGTTTTATTTGCCCATCCGTAGGGTTATCACACTAAATACGGTGTATGTGTGTTTTAAGAAATGGACCTAAAATTCATGTATAAAAGATATGTCACGTTTTTCGATATCTTTTTTCATTTATTGTTTTCTCATAAAGAAGAATGGTATTTAAAGGTAAAATCTGGATCTAAAAACAAATTCATCATGGAAAACTACACACCCTCAATATTTAACAACTTCAAGACTTTAACTTCAAGACCTTTAATCAAATATTACGGAGATCAAGATCAAACCTTTTCTCAACTCAATCCAGACCTCGCAGCATCAGGAAAATAAATTTAGTTCCAAAGAAGTTCAGTCTTTCCCACAAATTTTCTAATCCATATGTCCTAACAAGCCGTTGTCGCAGACCTTATATGTTTCAAATTATGGATTCTGTTAAATCAAAAAATCTAAGTTTAAAATAATAAAGGTTAAGAATATATGGATAAGAAAATTTGAGTTTGAGGCTAGGACTTAATTCCATTATATGTTTATCTAAGTGATCAAAATAGTATTAGAAAGAGTTAAAGGGACTGTAAAGGCGTAGTTTTAAAGGAACCGTTTACTTATTTGGGTAATTTTAGGGTAAACTAAACAGCCTATTCGCTCTTTATTGGTAATAGTCTTACTTTTCAAAGACAACTGTGGCCGTAGAAAAAGCCGATTTTTCGTCCAGAATTTGAGCGGAAAGGGACGGTCCCTGTCTATAGACACTATTTAATGTTTTTTTTTCAGTAACAGCAGCCCAATAATATTTAAATTTATTATATTTTAATGTCATGATGTGTTCGTTATTATGTACTAAAATCTGAAAACTTTTGATATTTGAGTTAGCAAGAAATTTACGTTTTCCGTATTAAAACATGTAAAATGTGTTTACAAAGACGACGTCTCTACGACAATCAATTAATCAATACTCGTATTTTGGTTCGTAGATTTTGTATTTTTTTTTCCCGTATGTGCACAACTTTGCATTGTCATGCCGCGTTCAATTCAGCTTTTTACACAGGCAATACACAATTTTGAAAGCGATAAAATAGTGTTATTTTAGAAATAGAAAGTAAAAAAACAAAAAAATTTTTAAAATAATGGCATTTACAATTAACGATTGGATACTACAGTTTAATTTTATATTAGAAATTTATTTTGATTCACAACATGCTGAAAATAATATCAATTAGTGTCTATAGAAAGGGTCCCTTTGCGCTCGAATTCTGAACGAAAAATCGACTTTTTCTCCGGCCACAATTGTCTTTGAAAAGTAAGACTGTTACTAATCAAGAGCGAATAGACTGTTTAATTTACCCTGAAATTACCCAAATAAGTGAAAGGTCCCTTTAAGTAAACCTCCTCACAAAGATGGCAATTCCCGATTCACAACGCGTAGTACTTTGTCTGATCAAGTATAAATTAGATATCAATATTTATAATTTTAAACACCCTTTAACCATTGTCTGACAAAGAAATCCTTTTTACTTAGATTGAAAATTGAGTGTCTTAAGGAAGCATGAGTGTCTTTAACCCTAAACAGGCTAGGTGGGGACGTTTGGCCCTCCCCTCTAGTTTGTTTTTGCCCAAGCACTCTCATTTTTGACACTATTACCGTGGAATATTTTGACTTTTAATAAATAGCAATTTAAAGGATTTTTTGTCATTTTTAACTGTATTTATGTACAGCCGTACAGGGCTGTAAAAAATCCGGTCTGTGTAAAAAGAAATCTAAAATAGCCAATATCATGAATAAAGCTATATATATATATATACTATATTTTTAAAAGCCCTTTGAAAAATGGATGTAGAAACATGTGTCACACTTTAATATTTGTTTTAAACAAAACAAAAACATATTTTTACATAAATTTCAACCTTTATTGGGGGCACTCTTTTCAACCCTCTCTAGTACCCAAACTATTAAAGTTATCGATCTAATTTTTTCTTCAATGAGCTGGCCTTGACAAATTGGGCCCTGAACATGCATTTCAACCCTATACCTATTCTCTAAGACTTTTTTCAAGAGGGGGGACTGGGACGCCCCCCCCCCCGTCTTTTTATAGATTCAGACCCGCCAGCCTTTATAGGGTTAAATGGCCAAGGACGCTTTTAACTAGGTCTACAGTCCGTTTAAGCTACAATGCAATAAATTTAGTATCAATAGCCCAAAGGTTCTAAATAACACACATTTTGCCCATAAATTTATTTTCTTTAGGCAGGTTAAAGATCAATTCGGAAAAGAATTACCTATATTTTCCTGATACACCAACAACAACCAAAACCATGACAACATCAATCTCAACTAAAACTACAACAACAGCTACAAAAACAATTTCCATAACGGACAGACCATATTTTCCTATAAAACCATTTCGGCCAAGTTTTAATATTGTAAAGAAAGGACAAGTTCCAATTCCTCCTCCTAGAACAGTATTATCGCAGGCCATTAATACGGTTGCCAAACTGAGTTTAGCACATGATGAAAAAGTAACATCCTCTACTTCTTCAACTGAAATGGAAACAGCAAACCCCCAACAACCTCAACAATTTCCATCGAATAAAGATGTTTTTAAAACTCAAGAACAAAATACAATGGAGGAGATTATAAAATCACTTCAACATCAACAGCCGCCATTGTTCTTTTCAATCCAAAATTCGACTGGATTTAAGTCAACAACTCCCTTTCTCCTACCTTTTATCATCCAAGATCCAACAACCGTTACTCCAACCCTTCTTCCTCTAAACCTAACAGTTTCTTTAAAAAATGAATCCATAACAAAGTCATCAATTTCTTCTGAGAGTGACCTGCTAAAATTTATCCACAATTTAGGAAAATAATTGTTGTTTTTTTTAATTGAACTTTTATTCCCTTGAGAAATAAAACTAATTAAATATAAAATATTTAGTTGGCTCTAAAATATTGAATTCTGAGAAACAAAATAATTATTTAATTAGTTCAAGAAGCCACTCAACAACAAAATAATTCCAGGTAAAAGATAAGTTTTAGAAAATATATTGCGGATTTTCTCAAGAAAAATTAATTTGTAATGTAATTTTAGACCTCTTGTCAACAAAGCAGCAGAGACAAACAATTCATCATCGCTCACTCAAAACATTTTGAAAATTCAGAATGGACAGATGATTTCCATTGCTGATGAAAATAAGGTAAATTAAAAGTTTACTTTTATATCCAACAAAGGATGATACTGATGATGATGGTACTTGTATATACATATTTTTTTTTGTAAAAAATACATATATTTAGCATATTTTTTTTAAATTTATTAAACATTTTCTCTAGATTTTTGAGCAGTCAACTGTAAACCCTAAAACAGAAGAACTTCATCAAATGCTGAAAAATGTTGCTCAAGGACTTCCATTTATATTTTTTCCCGCAAATACAATAAAAAGCAAAGAAGTGTCTGCAATAAGTACAACAGCTGTGCCTACAAATACAATAAGTACAACTGCAGTGCCCACAAATACAATAAGTACAAATGCAGTGCCCGAAAATACAATAAATACAACAGCAGTGCCCGCAAATACAATAAGTACAACTGCAGTGCCCGCAAATACAATAAGTACTTCATTAGTGTACGCAAATACAATGAGGATAACAGCAGTGCCTGAAAATGAAATAAAAACAACATCAGTGCCTGTAAATACAACGGAAAGCTCTACAACAACAACAACAACAACAGAAACTGCTTCTCCGAAAACCACAACAGTAACAATCACAAAATCAACATTTGCAACAACAGCTCAAACAACCTCAGTTACAGAAAGATTGAAAAACAATATAGAATTTAAAATACAAGAATCAACTCCTTTACCTATTTTACCTTTAGGGACAACACTTAAAACGACGACCTCCACAACAACGGAAGCCACAACACCAACTCCATTAGGTATTACAAATATTATGTACAATTATAATGTGTGGATAGAAAGACGTTATTTTAGTAAAGTGTTTAAAATCCAACGTAACTTCCGCTTCGTATTTAGCGAAATTGGTCACTGTGTTCCATGTTGCTTTTATTGCATTATTTTCTTAGGAACAGAAATGAATTTGTTTACCCCAGGGATATTCAACTTTTTTAAAAAGGGATTAACAAAAATTTGGAAACCATAGAATAAAAACGGGGTTTTAATTCTTTTGTAATTGAATAGAACTAATTCCTAAAATCTTGTTAAAGCAAAATTAAAAGCTTAATGAACCAAATAATATTATTTAGATATGTCAGCAGGAGGTATTATAACACGAATCCTATCTGGTGCTGCTGCTCCGCTAGCCGGCCTGTCAGCTGCTACACTAGCCTACACGGCTGCAGCCATGATGCCGGTCTGGCTTCCATTAGCTCTGGGCAGGAGGAAGCGAGACATCATGGAAGAAATTCAAATTCCAGATTCTCTAAAACGTTCACCAAACTGGGATAATATTTCGACCTAAAACTGACATCAATGCAATTGGAGACTGATCAATAAACAGTTTTAGTTTAACCTACAAACTAACCTTTTGAAAAGGAACAGAACGATTTTGTTGTTTTATAGTGATCACCGATCGATGTGAAGAAAAACATTTAAATACATATCTCACAAATTTATAATCATCCAAATTAAATGTACTTTTTACAAGGGGTTAAATTTAACCTAAATTTGAAAATATTTGCTTTACTAGTTTGTATTCTGTTCTGATTGTTTTTTAAATATTTCTTAATTTTTTCTCTTCTTTTTTCAAATTTTCAAATTACTTTTCGTATTCAGATATTCATAATTATAAAAAAAATTATATCCATTTTGAATAAAAAAATTGAACAATTTAATAAATTAAAAGTTCATCATATTTTTGATTTAAAGAAATTTTATTGACTTCAGTTAAATGCAGTAGATAGTTATTATAAACTATGTATATCCATGATATTATATTTATACAATCAAAAATCATTATGTTTTTGTTTTTAGTGTAGACAAGTGAAAACTTGAATTAAAAAATATATAATTTAAAATATTTTCGTAAAATTTTGAAAAACAAAATTGAAACTAATCTTTATGAAGACAATATTTTCATGGTAAGTACTTTAATAGAAAATTTTATTTTTCTTCTAATCTGTTACAATATTTTTATGTAACTTTTGTACACTTTATTATTCATTTTTAGTTCATGGACAATTTGATTTTAAGAATGCTATAAAATAATTATCTTGCTGTAATGAAAATCAACTACATAATATAGTTTAGATGTTTTCCTCAATTTTCTGAAAAGTAAATTTTTTAAAACTATTTACAATTTTCAATTTTCATAAAACTAACCATTTTTATTTTGGCACAACTTTAAGCCAAAATAATAGTGTTATAAATATTTGTTTTGTTTCAGGTATGATATCCTGGCTCGAGGAGGGAGGAACAATGTTGACCGGAAACCTATGACTCGAGCTGATATAGAGCTGTCTGTATCAGAGATTGCTGCACAGCTCCTCACAAACCCACCTCCAGGTACACCTAGATATAGAGTTGTCTGTATCAGAGATTGCTGCACAGCTCCTCACAAACCCACCTCCAGGTACACCTAGATATAGAGTTGTCTGTATTAGAGATTGCTGCACAGTTCCTCACAAACCCACCTCCAGGTACTCCTATTTATAAAGTTGTCTGTTTCAGAGATCGCAGCAAAGTTCCAGAACCAGAGATAGGCATCGAACGATTTGAAATCATTAACGATAATTTGAGAACGAACAAAATAAATTTATATTTAAACGATTTAAAAAAAATAACGAAATGGGTCACCTACGAGCGATGCAGGAACGAATTTAAAAAAACAGTACGTGCTCATCTCTAAGGCTGGGCTAACACACATTTTTGAAAACAAAGCTTTCTTAACAAATTCCGTTAATGAACAGAAAAATCGATCAGTTTCATTTGTAGGTTTAGTTCACCACTATAGACTATGTTTTTGAAATTATGAATCTTAAAAATCTATAATCTTATCATAAAGGGTAAATTTTGGGACTTTGAGTATGTTGATATCCTTTCAGCGCCAGTCCTGAAATTTTCCGGGAAGAAAATAAAAAGTGAATTTAAAACTTTTAAACCGGAGAATAATAACGCTTTTATAAGATTGTTGTTTTACGTTTTTTACATATAAAATATATAATTATTTTTTAATTAAATATGATTTCATTTTGCAGGAAGTATTGCTAGTTCAACCCCATACACTGAACTTGTCAAGGATCCTGAAAACGAAGCAAAGGTATTTAATTAGAAAAAAATTCAATCAATTGATTCAAAATAAATTCAATTAACTAAAATAAAAAGAATCAGACGTCTATGTATAAAGGTTGATGATCAAGTTAAAGAAATTCTATCTTTGTATTGTTAAATAGATTGCATGTGTATTGTTAAAGAAATTCTAAATGTATTGTTAAAGAAATTATATGTGTGTTGTTGAAGAAATTCGAAATGTATTGTTAAAGAAATTCTATGTGTATTGTTAAAGAGACTAAGAGACTGGCGACGTCATTTCAAACCATCCTTCATTTAAGTCTCAAAGTTCCCATTTTAATCTGATCGATCAACTAGATTAGGTTTTTTTCTAGATTGAAAGGTGTTTAATTCTGACAACTTTCTCAACTGTTTCTTAATTATAAATATGTAAATCACTATTTTTTTAGATATCATATTGAAAAGTCGAGAGAAAAATGTATTTTTCCTTTAAGACTTTTGTATTGTAAGGTGGTTGATCATATTAAAGGATTTATTGTATTGTAAAGGTGGACAATATTAAAGGATTATTGTATAGTAAGGTGGTTGATCATATTAAAGGATTATTGTATTGTAAAGGTGGTTTATTATATCAAAGGATTATTGCATTGTTAAGGTGGTTGATCATATTAAAGGATTATTATTGTTAAAGAGACTAAGAGACTGGCGACGTCATTTCAAACCATCCTTCATTTAAGTCTCAAAGTTCCTGTTTTAATCTGATCGATCAACTAGATTTTTTTTTTCTAGATTGAAAGGTGTTCAATTTTGACAACTTTCTCAACTGTTTCTTAATTATAAATATGTAAATCACTATTTTTTAGATATCATATTGAAAAGTCGAGAGAAATATGTATTTTTAATTTAAAAATTTAGTATTGTAAGGTGGTTGATCATATTAAAGGATAATTGTATTGTAAAGGTGGTTGATCATATTAAAGAATTATTGTATTGTTAAGGCGGTTGATCATATTAAAGGATTATTATATTGTAAAGGTGGTTTATCATATCAAAGGATTATTGTATTGTTAAGGTGGTTGATCATATCAAAGGATTTTTGTATTGTAAAGGTGGTTGATCATATTAAAGAATTATTGTATTGTTAAGGAAGTTGTTCATATTGAAGGATTATTGTATTGTTAAGGTAGTTGATCATATTAAAGAATTATTGTATTGTCAAGGAAGTTCTTCATATTGAAGGATTATTGTTTTGTTAAGGTGGTTGATCATATTTAATTATTATTGTATTGTTAAGGTGGTTGATCAAATTAAAGGATTATTGTATTGTAAAGGTGGTTAATTTTAAAGGATTATTGTATTGTTAAGGCGGTTGATCATATTAAAGGATTATTATATTGTAAAGGCGGTTTATCATATCAAAGGATTATTGTATTGTTAAGGTATTGATCATATTGAAGGATTATTGTATTGTTAAGGTGGTTGATCGTAATAAAGTATTATTGTATTGTTAAGGTGGTTGATCATATTAAAGTATTATTGTATTGTTAAGGTTGTTGATCATATTAAAGGATTATTGTATTGTAAAGGTAGTTAATATTAAAGGATTATTGTATTGTTAAGGCGGTTGATCATATTAAAGGATTATTATATTGTAAAGGCGGTTTATCATATCAAAGGATTATTGTATTGTAAAGGTGGTTGATCATATTAAAGAATTATTGTATTGTTAAGGTATTGATCATATTGAAGGATTATTGTTTTGTTAAGGTGGTTGATCATATGAAAGGATTATTGTATTGTAAAGGTGGTTAATTTTAAAGGATTATTATATTGTTAAGGCAGTTGATCATATTAAATGATTATTGTATTGTAAAGGTGGTTAATATTAAAGGATTATTGTATTGTTAAGGTGGTTGATCATATTAAAGGATTATTGTATTGTTAAGATGGTTGATCATATCAAAGAATTATTGTATTGTTAAGGTGGTTGATCATATTAAAGGATTATTGTATTGTTAAGGTGGTTGATCATATTAAAGTATTATTGTATTGTTAAGGTGGTTGATCATATTAAAGTATTATTGTATTGTTAAGGTGGTTGATCATATTAAAGTATTATTGTATTGTTAAGGTGGTTGATCATATTAAAGTATTATTGTATTGTTAAGGTGGTTGATCATATTAAAGTATTATTGTATTGTTAAGGTGGTTGATCATATTAAAGTATTATTGTATTGTTAAGGTGGTTGATCATATTAAAGTATTATTGTATTGTTAAGGTGGTTGATCATATTAAAGTNTGGGGGGGGGGGTTACGAATATTGCAAAGTGTAATAAAATGTTTTAAAAAATGATTTAAAGCGATTGATAATAATATGAACTTTAACCGTAATGAATTCCTTTAGTGTATTAAGTCATTAAAAATGAAATTATAGTAATGTGTCTTTTCTAGAAGAAACTGAAAAACCTTTTGTGGAATCCAATTTAATAAAAACTTTTACTTACTTTTTTAAAATGTTATTTTATCTTTGAGAACATAAACGTTTTCTCTTTGATACATATCTTTGAGTACATGTATGCATTCTATTTAATATATATGAGTACATTTACACATTCTCTTTAATATATATCTTTAAGTACATTTACACATTCTCTTTAACATATATCTTTAAGTACATTTACATATTCTCTTTAATATATATCTTTAAGTATATTTACACATTCTCGTTAATATATAGCTTTAAGTACATTTACTCATTCTCTTTAATATATATCTTTAAGTACATTTACACATTATCTTTAATATATATCTTTAAGTACATTTACTCATTCTCTTTAATATATAGCTTTAAGTACATTTACACATTCTCTTTAATATATAGCTTTAAGTATATTTACACATTTTCTTTAATAAATATTTTTAAGTACATTTAAACATTCTCTTTAATATATATCTTTAAGTACATTTACACATTCTCTTTACTTTTTACTTTTCATGACTGACTGAGAAAAGGACAAAAGAACATAACTCAATCCAGCTTTCTACAAGTCATTGGCAAATCAACGCTTCATGCGATTATTAAAAATCATATTATTAACCAAACCAAATTGTTAAGCCTAAGGAAAAAAGGAAGCAAGATCAGCCCGCGTAAAATAAGTGTTCACTATGGGTTGCAGGGTTATCCATAGTCAAGTTTTTAAGACAATGGCGCAACACAAAACGTTGGGGTGTATGACTTTTAACTAATCTGGAGCAGAACAAAATAATAGAAAGACTTTGATAACAAACTGGAAATAGATTTATTGATATTTCGTTTGTATTTGTATGCGTGAGCTTGTGCCCACAACTCTTATCCAAAAATAAATTATTAAAGTTAAAAATACATTCTCTTTAATATATATCTTTAAGTATATTTACACATTCACTTTAATATATATGTTAAAGTACATTTACACATTCTCTTTAATATATATCTTTAAGCACATTTACACATTCTCTTTAATATATATCTTTAAGTACATTTACACATTCTCTTTAATATATATCTTTGTGTATATTTACACATTCTCTTGAATATATAGCTTTAAGTACATTTACACATTCTCTTTAATATATAGCTATAAGTACATTTACACATGCTCTTTAATATATAGTGCATCTACATATTCTCTTTAATATATATCTTTAAGTACATTTTAACATTCNATTTACTAGTAAAAGAATACAACCATTCGCCAATGGCGTTCCATTGAATAAATTGTTTCTGATCCAGGTTGGAGATGAAGAAGGGAGTGGTGAATATGAAATTGCAGAGCTAAATAACCTGGACCAGAACACTTCTGTAATTGAAGATGAAGAATCAGCTGATGAAATGATTGCAGAAGAAGATGATCAACTTATGATGGGTAAATATTTATTTTATGCAGTGTGTTTCACTAAACATTAATGGCGATCATGTATGTTATATTTTGAAATCATATTCATATATTAATGGATTGTCAAAAATTATAAAGACTACTTTTTTAGACAATTATACAATACAATTATACATTTTAACGTTTATTGTAAAAAAACAAACAAACACCCAAGCCGAATATATATGAAAGGGGGATAGCAGCAAAAAAAGCTGTTTCTTCCCAAATTAACAAATTTTATATACATTCGAGACTTTGGTACTTTTTAATGTGTTTTTTTTCAATCAAAGCTTATTTATGAACATCCGTAATTGTCATAATATCACTTTCAATAACTAACATTGTGTTTAAATAGTTAAAACTTGAACGAACTGTCGCATAGAATGATAGGATTAATTTTGTCGTCTTAAAATTAATATGTTCATCGGGACACACTGTGTCTATATATTCAGTATTCACCTTGTTTATATTTTACTCCTAGAACGAGTTTTGTCCCTAGTCCCAAGAGATTATTTGTTTTTACAAAGAGAAAATATTTCTTTACTTTCTATACAGGAAAATATGTGTTTATACTTTCTTTACACTTCTTTCAGTATTATTCAAAAACTTTATGTTTAATATTTTTTGATTGACCGAAAACATTTTTAATGGAGTTGAGTCTTTCCACCTAACTCTGATTTTATAATCCTATATCTCCCAATGTTGTAGACCTTAAACATTTCAAACTTCTTCCAGATCATTTAGATTGAATTATCATTTTTTTGCACCATGAGGTTGCAAAGATAAGGGATTAAAAAAATCAAAGTGTATGGCAAAGACTCAATTCCTTTCCAACATTTGGTAAAATCAAAGAACATTTATGATATTTCAAACTCAGATTATTTGATCTAACAGAATTCATAGTTTGAAATATCTAAGGTCTGCAACATTTCGTTCCAAAGATATAGTGATTAAAAAATTAGAGTTTGTGGCAAAGACTCAATTCCTTTGCAAAATGCATCGCTTCAGATCAAAAAAATACTAAACTTACAAAGTATACAACGATATAAAATTTCTATTTTTCGATGTTTTTTCATTGTTGTTTCTACTCACAATTACGAATTAAAGCTGATGGGGCGTAAAATGATCGAGTCTTTGTTTACAAACTCTGATTTTCTAATCCATATATATTTGCAACCTGATAATGTTAACCTTTGATATGTTAAACTTAGGTTTTTTGATCTAACATTATTCCTAGTATGTATTACATATCTAAGGTCTGCACGACAGTAAATGTAAATATAAAAGGCTCAACAATGTTGATGAAAATATTCTACCTTTAATTTCACAAACTAGCTTAAAAAGATAATTTTTTAGAAAAACATTGTCATATGAGTTAAAGATACTCAGATTCTTTTAATTTTTGTAAATGATTTTAATCTTTAAATATCTTCATTATTTATTTATATATTTATCATTTTTAAGGAGCAGTTACTTAACATTATCAGTGATATGCAAGCAGAGAAAGATGCGGTGAGACTATTCAAAGATTAATCTTTTTCTTTAAAAAAATTTCTTATGATATCTAAATTTTCAGGATCAAGAACTGCATTTTTTAGATTTTTTAAAAATTATTTG